GATTTAGTTATTTCTTCTTTTCTATCTTTAAACACTTCTTATCAGGTAATCTACTATATTAGCTTCTTAATCTAAGTAATATATACTATAAACTAGATACTAAGTTAAAGCTTTACTTCCTTAATAGTACAGCTCTTAGTTTTAGTCTTAATAGAAATAGTAATAGGTTAAGTCTATAAAGCCTTATAGCTAATATAGCTTATAGAAATTAATAAACTAATAATAAGAAAGATAATAGTATTATAAGCTAGTTAAAAAGGCTTAAGAAATATAGTATAATTAATAATATTACCTATAGTAAGGCTAGGAGAATGTATTAGTTAAAGCTAATATATACCTTATTATTATCTAAGGCTAGCTCCTAGACCTTTATATATATATAATAGATTTATTTACTCTTATAGTCGAGATTCTTAATATAGTAGTATAGGAACCTGTTAATAGCTAATATTATCTATAGCTTAGCTATTAGCTCTTCTATAGAGTAGTTATTACTATTATTTAGCTAGGATTATCTAATCCTCTTAATACTAGCGTTAGCTAGTTATTATTATAAACTTATAGTAAAGATAGGCCTATCTACTATATCTTCTAGAATATCTAATCTTGCTATTTTTATATATCTTAAATATTTACGCTAACTTACTATTATATTAGTACAAGACTCTATTACTAAGGTCTTATAATAATATTATCTTTTTTAGGCTTATTAAGCGCGCTAAGGTTACTAACTATAAATATAGTTTTAAATATTACTTTATATATAAATAAACCTACTATTATAAAGGTAAACTATATATTAAAGAATTCTTTAAAAGTGTTTAATAGATATTATTCTTATAAGTATAATACTTAATATAATATTAAGTAAAGTTCTAGTAAAGAATACTACTTATGTAAATTAGCTTCTCTTCTTTTATATATCTTAATTTCTATCTAAAATATACCTTTAGTATATTGTCTTAATTATAAGTCTCTGCCTTAATAATTTCTTCTATTTAGTGTATTATACTAAGGTATTACTATAGCTGTCTAATAGTGTTAAATCCTAAACTATACTAAAGTTTATTAATATACTACTTCTAGAAATTCTACTAAGTAATAGTAAACTTAGAACCTACTTTAGTATTTCTTTACGTAAAGAGCTTACTAGGCGTTATAAGTATTTAAGTCTTTATAGATATATAACTATATACTAATACTAAAAGAATTATAAAGCTACTATAGTAAAGCTAAGCTATTAAAACTAGAACTTTATTTTTAATCTTAACTTCTAATAAGGTCTCTAGCGCTTCTATAAATAAGCTAAGAGTAAATAAGATTAGTTTATTAGTATAGATACTAAATAAGGCTAGTCTTACTATAAAGCTAGTAAGGTTACGTCTTTTAACTATAGTAATATTAGATAATGTGTTTACCTAGGTATACTAAAGTGTATCTATTAGAAATAGGAGATTAAGCTAGATTTACTATTATATACTTATAGTATCTTTACTACTTACTATACCTATACTTAACCTAACTTAAGATATAACTCTATAGCTTTATACTACTAGTACCTAATATATAAGCTAGTCTACTATAGGCTTAGCTTTAGGTATTACTTTTATAGTTTATAAGAATAGATACTATAAGTTATATAGGTTAACCTTAGTTATACTAATAAGGTATTATTCTAAGTTAGTGTAGCGTTTTGTAATATTATAGATAAATATATATACCTACTAAATTTATATATATAGGTCTTACTTAACTCTAGTATTAATAGATAGATAAAAGTACTACTTACTAGATCTCTTCCTATCCTCTATAAGATAAGAGAGTAACGCTATATTATACTTAGAATTTTAAGTTATTTAAAGAGAATTTAACTAAGATAGTTTACTATCTAAAACGTATATTTAGTAGTAGTAATATATACTATCTATAGTATACGCGTAGAGCAGCTAGTAGATATAAGATATATAAGACTATAGTATTACACCTTAATATAACTCTAAGACTAAACGCTAATAGTATTTTAAATAATATATTATAACCTTAGTACTTACTACTAGAAGCTAGTTAATATATAACTAAAATCTAGTTAGTATATATATAGATAAATTAAGCTAATTATTACGCTATACCTAGTATAAATATACTATAAGTAGCTACTCTATAGAATTCTAATTAGCACTTTTATAATATTACTATATTTTTTACTATTAATAGAGATAGAGTATATATATATTAGAGTATATTTACTTTTATAAAGCTATAAGCTTAACAGCTTAGGATATACCTCTAACTATATTTTATAAGCTAGATATTAATAAGAGATATAAGTACGCTAATTCTAAGTACTCTACTATACCTTTATAATAAGGATAATTAGCTTACTACTAGACTACTAGTATTATCTAATTAGCTAACTAGCTACTTAATAGGCTCTTTATATATAAGAGCTTAGAAAATATTCTTAATACTAACCTTAAGATTACTATATCTAGAATAAGCTAAACTAGACTAGTAATTAGAATTATTATAAAGTAATAACCTCTTATTACCTAAGGTTTTAATAAGTAGATTAATACTTATAATTAAATCTTTCTTAATCTACTAGGTTTAACTATAGATAATTTTAGCGTTATATAATATAGTACTCTTATATTAATTAAAGTCTAGAGCCTAGAATCCTTTAGCTATATAGAAGAACCTACTTTATATTAAGAATCTTTTAAAATTTTAGAAAGTTATCTATACTAGTAATTTACCTAGTAGCTATAGAAGATACTAACTATAGGTATAATAATTATATCTAAGCTATTATTTTAAATTACTAGAAAGTATTTAAGTAGTATTTAAGTAGTATTATTATTACAATTTTTAATTACGTCCTTAAATATATAAATAGTAAAAGGTTAAGAACTATAATCTAGTAATAATTTAACTATACTATAGTAGTTACCTCTTCCTACTATATAATAACGTTACTTCTATTTAAGAAATAGTTATAGTTACTTTAGGTATATATTTTATTAAGAGCTTTATCTTAGAGATTTACTCTCTTATTATAGTAGTTTTAGGTACGTTTAGTTTACAGTTAGTAAAGGAGCTACCTATTAATATTAGAAGGTAATAAATATTATTATCTATATTAAAAGATACTGCTCTTTAGAACTAGGAATATATACTAATTATATATAGATTAATACCTATATCTAGTAGTCTTTTAATAAGTGTAGTACTTCCTTCTATATAAATAGGCTATAGTGCGTTTCTAAAATAACTACTAGATATATTAATATTAGGTAGGCTTTTTAGCAGCTCTATTACGAGTTATACTTAATTATAGTAGAAAGTATATTATATTACATCGTAGTAATATAGTTCTAGAAGTAAATTTATTAAATAAACTTAAGTTAAACTTAGATAGATCTTAAAGTCTTCTTTTATCTACTTTTATAATCTACCTTTACTAACCTATAACTTATAAAAGCTATTATATTATATTATTAAGTCCCTAATAAGCTACTACAGTACTAAAGTAAAAGTTTTAGCTATGCTAAGAACTAGCTTATAATCTCTAATATTATACCTATTATAAATAGAAAGCTTACTACCTAATTTTATATATAAAAACTTTGTTTTTTTTAGTAAGTAAATATAAAATATATTAATACTTTATTTACTAGCCTTTAGCCTACCTATAAGGACTAATTTAGCTTAGTATAAATAGAATTTAGTTTTTTATTACTCTCTTTAGAATTATTTTTTAGTAGTATTTTAAAGCCTTATAAAACTTCTTTTACTTTTCTTTTACTATACTCTAAAAGGCTAATTTAAAGTAGTACTTAAATATAAGCTTTTTTAATACCTACTAAAGGTATTTAATAAAGTTAAAATCTAGTAAGTAGAGAAGCTAGTTAATAGTTATACTATTATAAGCTACTAAGAACTACCTTACTATATAGGCTATATATATTAATATATTCTTCTGTATAAAGTACTACTTTTTTTACTAGTATAAAAAAAAACCTTTTTTTAGAGTCTTAATATAACTTTTAGCTAAATATCTATTATATAAAGTATTTAAGTAATACTTTATAATTATTAACTTACTTTTCTATAAGTTACTTTAGGTATTAAGCTATATAGTACCTTATACTATCTATATAGACTTATAAGTAGTCTTAATCTTAGTTATTATCTTATAGTCTTATCTTTTATTAAAATACCTAAAGTACTATTATTATATATACCTAGTACTCTTTTAAATAAAGTACTTATTTAAAAACTTTACTAGCCTATAAGCCTATAGCTAATTATAGTAAAATTTATAAAACTTAAGTTTTCTATAAGCCTACTTAGGTATAAGTTTTAGTTACTTCTTAGTTTAGTAATTAGTAAGGCCTATTTTTTAAAGTAGGTAATAAATTATAGTATAAAAAAAAGGCTTTAAAGTAGTACTATTAAAGAGTATAATATAAAATACTTTAAAAAAGTCTTTATACTATATTTTTAGGTTCTTTTATACAGCCTAATATACTAGCTTCTTTTTATACCTTAAGAGTATAAATAAGTAGCTACTATATAGCTTATCTATTATTAATAAAGATTAATAAAACTTTTAGTAAAGAGTATATATAGTATATTTTAATTACTTAATAGTTATAGCTACTTTAGCTATACCTATACCTACTAAATATATACTAATTACTATATTCCTAATAGTAAAACTTATATTTAGGCTATAAGAAGTTTTTTAGTATACTTTTTATTAAATTTAGTTAACATTTAGTAGAGTAATAAAGGAGTTAAAATATAGGATAGATTTAGTAGGGTAAATAAATTGCGCTAACACAGCTAAAACTTTTAACGCGTAACTGTATAGAGGAGCTACGCTTTAGTATTTGCTGCTTCTTAACCTAAACCTCAGAAAGTAAAATTATAGCAGTAAATTAGCGATCGCTAGTGATAGCCGAGGGTATAGACGATTTGAATTTGTCTTTCTGCCCCTAAATAGCGTCGTTAACTATGAGTTTTTCGACGGCGACATCATGACCTCCGTAAGTTGCGGCCTGCATAGACATTCCGAGATGGCCGTCTGTCGCGTTGAGTACGACGCCGAGTTGGGTTAACTTGTCAAGAACTCTATCAGTGCTGTATTCTGCGCCGACGTAGAAAGGACTTGCGCCAAATCTGTTCTTCATTTTCCAATCAACATCAGCATTGGTCGAAGTCTCCATGTCTAGGAGACCTCAATACCATGTACCTACGCGACCAAGACAGCACATTTATCGTCGCACATGCTTGTTCTCGGCTCTCCAGACAAGGAAGAATCGAAGATCTCTCGATCATCCAACAAAGCTTACAGGTCGTCAATCCGGAACTGGAAATGCTGATCCCGATCTTTAGAAACAAGAGTGGTACACTTGAATCTAGAACTTCGGCACTGTCGATAACGTTGACTCTGAGTAGTGTCGCGGCCAATAGAAGGAACATACGCATGAAAAGATGGCGCACCAATACCGGCCGAGTAGCGGTCGGATATGTCAACAGCTTCAGAATTATCCAATAGACGGTCGACGCATGCAGATGCTGTTAGAGCGTTTAGGCGAGACTGTGAGTGATGTGGAGGAGATTACAATTATTCGCGGATAAACGCATGTACAAAAGGCACAAGATCAGAGCTGGGGTCTTAAACAATAAGATCTGAACAGGAATTATAAATGTATTCAGTACTGAAACCTCGGGTGTGTCCCGCAACCCTTCTGTAGGGAACTGAGCTGAGAAGCTTAGATGTTGTGAGAGGACACTCAGCTACCAATATCCAACTAATCATCCTCTTGGCAATCAATTTAGCTGTGTTCGAATATTGCACTACATAACTGTGAATTTGATCGAGGGTTTATCGCAAAGCTCGTGGAACTATGGTGAGATCTTCGAAAACATCCTCCTTTCTGGCAAACACTTGCTGGTCGCAAAGTTGCTGGGGTTGAAGAGACGCCCAAAGGAACATCGAGGAAGCCCCATGATTCAACGTCTCCATGATAAGCCTGCGAAGTTCAGCTGAGATGATCCCCTCAACAGCCTACACTCCACTATAACAGTGTCAGGGTTCCTTCAATGGAGAGCGGAACGCCCCAAGAATGATTTAATGAAGATGTCTTCAAGCCTGAAAACTTGTATAAGTGCCAAAATATGATCAAAATATCGCGAGTCGTAATCAATATCTTCAACGTATCTAAAGATCTTTTAACAGGGCTCTTTGAGAATAGGAGCACTTGTTCAGAATTGCCTTCCATCTCGCCCACGCCGTCGACAATGATGGTAGCTGGGTATGCTTCTGACACCGAGAGTAACATACCCATGTGATTTCAACTATTAGTGGTAAGCATGTCTATGTTGTGCATTGATGCTCCCACATTACGTCTTTGGAACGCTCGTGGACAGACCAATGTACTGAATTGTAGATCTGGTGGCAGGCTAGCTGTTCCAAGAGACTCCGGAGTACGGTATAAGCGGATCGGTCATCTGGATTTGAAGCTTTTCAGGAGCAACGAAAGTATGCGGTTGGAGGTAATCATGAGTCTATTTTGATCCCTTGCAGCTTCTCATGTACTACGATCGAGAGTAGCCTTTATTTTCCTCATGCTGAAATTCCACGAACTCAGAGTATTAACGAGGTATTTGAGTTTCGCCAATCCTGGTAGTCTTGTCCAAGAGAAAGTCAACTACCTGCCAATCACCACATCGCGCTAGACTCGCTCATCATGTTTTCGATGTTCACGACTGACGGCCACTCGTATGTTACAGGGTTGACTTCCACCTGCACGAGAGCCTCAGCAGCTGGTCAGATAGGTTGTTTAAGCGAATGCATCAGCTCTTTCAATACTTTCAATTCGACTGCTCTTGTCTGTTTCACAGCTTGAACAATTGAGGCCATTTGACATGTAGCGATACCCTCCAGCATCCGGGAAGCCTTTTTGAGCTCTTCCTCGCGACACAGAGTTATGTTGAGCTGCTTTTCATTACGCCTGTAGAACTCATGGAGTCCATCGCTTTCTTTTCGCGCTAGTGCGGACGTAGTATACTGTAGACTTCGCCATATAGCTCACAATTGATGATTAAAGGTCGACCAACTGTTTGCGTAGGGAAGCGCAGTCCAGGGTTGAGATGTTACGTGGCCCGTCCAAGACATGGCCTTATAGACTGCACCTTGCGTGACTAATTGCGCGACAAACACCACACCCTCGACGACAGCATTTAAATTTCCAACATTGTTGATAGAGATATGGAGAATCAGCCTCACCGCAACCCATGGAAGTGATGTGGCCGATGGATCGTATTGTGCAGCGATATCGCCGACGTCTTTGCAACCCTGATTTCATTTAGACGCTTTCTCAAACAAGTCCCGGATGTAAATGATTTGCTGACCTTTTTGCTGGCTGGAATAGATGTTATGGTGATAAGGTTCATTGAGTCGGCCGTGCGCGCTGCAGTATTGGTCTATCTACTAGAGGGCAAGATTGCGTCAATTCGATTGTCCGTCTCATTCCCAAGATGAATTTCTAAGGTTTTTGTTTCATCAGTCACGGCTTCTCCATGCATAATGCCATGGATATATGCTTCCCCAATAACCTCATAATGCCCTGGGTCGAGTCGGCGCATGATGAAGGGTATGTTCGCGCCCGGGACGACAAAGACTCTATCCCCTACTCGTAAAGACGATGGGCCCATCCCAAGCCAGCCCTTTGCGGTTCGCATCATGCGCCTATGCTTAGTTTTGAGACCTATCCTACTCCTAAAACGACCCGCGGCTTCGGTCATGGTTGCCTTTGTAGCGCTGTCTGGGCCTTTTAGAACGTCTAGCCCTTTACCAAGTTCCCTTACAGTGGGCAATACAGTAGACCGTGCCTTCATTTGGCTCAAGATCGTTTTTAATTCAGCATACACTCTCTCGGCTTCAATTCCAACTGCGTCAGATCGTTTGCTAAGAGCGGATGATTCTTTCAACCATGACATCGACGAAGGTAAGTCTTGGACCATCGCTCGTATTGCTGCTGCTTTGTTGTTGCGAACGTCGTCGAGAACATTTGCTGCTTTCGACTTTAATTGCGTCAGGCGGTCGCGAAGGAACTCTGTTTTGTCATAATCAATGCCAGCGTATCCAGTATCTCCACCAAGCCGAGCCAGTTCGTCGATTAACCAGTACTTGAAATCTTTGCCAAGAGCTAGGTGCTCGTTGCTTGACTCGTTAGCTGGATGTAAGTCAGTAACCAGTGTTCTAACGAGGGCCTGATCAAGATATTTGTTGCTGCAGCTGGTATCACGAAGGCCATCCAGAAGCCAAAAGATATCCCTCCATGCTCTGCTATTTCCAAACGGTACTGCAGCTCCCTTGACAATATCGATGCAAGCCGCCCGTACGGTTAGAATGCAGTCTCTGACTGAAACGCCTTCGAACGGTAGGTTTTGTGAAGCACACCAAGTTCCACTTGGATTTGACGCTGACGTCAATGGTTGAGGCCATAAGCGTACGGTCAGATCTGGGATCCAAGACGGAAGTGACTTCATCGATCGACAACTGGAGTCCTCGATCTGAGAGAGCAAACGAAGGTCTCCAGTTGCCTCAAGGAAGGTTTTGCTGAATTCGAGATAGGTGTTCTTGACCAATTTGCCATAGTTGGGCTCTGGCAGTCCAAAGTCAGGATCACATCTATTCTGATGTAGACGTTCTTTGATCAGGCCCAACAATGCGTATCCGTGATCATGAGCGTTGGTTGCATCAAAGCAACGCCCAAGGAAGAAAAGATCTTCAACCGGCTCGTAAACATATTTCTTTCTTATTTCGCATATCATCGCGATTTGATGCCCGAACTGAGTATAGATATCATCTTGTGTTGACGCTGTAAATCTCTTGCCATGAGCGTCCAAATATCTCCATAGAGGTTCGGATTGGGTAATCGCTATGGCGCATTTCTCCAGTTCCTCACTAGAAATCTCATATGAGCCACAATAGAACCGAAGACGCTGCGCCAATATCATCTCCTGTAGAATCCAGGCTCGGTTGAAGTAGGCACGGTTTATGACGGCACCAAGAGCGTCCCACATCTTGATATCAACTGGGCCTTCCTGTTGTACCTTGGACAAAAATCTCTCAACTTGTTTATCCTGCAAGTCCGCAATGAGGCATGCAAGGTACTTGATCGTTCGTACAGCTTCTTTGGTGAATGGGTCTTCTGGTCCGAGCCATGCTATAACTTGCCTGGCAGACTTATAAATCTTGTCCATCATAGAAACTTGCCTTGCCTTTTCGTTCAGATCCCGTTGATTGATACAAATCTGGTCAATCCAGTAGTACTCTTTCTTGGCGACGCCAATATGTTGGGACTGCTGCTCAAGAAACTGATAAAGATTGAGCGTGACAAGTATTTCAAAGCCATCGCAGTTGATACCAAATTCCTGTTTTGCTCTGCCGGGATTGTATTCGCCCAGGGCCGGAGCGCGATAATCACCCCAGACATATGACAGTGCCGTATAGGTGGTTTCTTGTGAATCCAAATCTACCTCTGAGAGACTGCATTGGATAATGCCTTCATTCACATGATCGATGCTGAGCAGCCGGATCGAATTGCGTTTGACCAGCCTCTGGTACTCGTACGGTGTAGAAGGCCCAATCTTTTTCGGCCCTTGCTCGATGTCCAGTTCCAACCTTGTATGCAGACATAGTTTACTTAAGTTTTCAGTATCTTCTTCGAGCAAACTCCCCATCTGATTGACGAATGAAGCACTCGCTGAATATCCAGCTAATTCAGCGTTATTACCGATGCCTTGGAATGCCTCTGAAAAGAGCGGACTAATCTTTTCTATGGATTTGAACATGTCTCTTTCATAACCTGTCAGACCTTCTCTCTTCATGGCTGCTAAAACTGACTCTGGCGTCATATTCTCGAAGTCGTAGCCAGTCATGATGTTTGCCATATCCATGAGGATTTTGGAAGTGGATTCAAGGAGAAATTCGTTCTTGGATTCCAGATCTCGGTAGGTTGTGGAATCCACATCTCCGGACAGCCGGGTCTTCTCCATGACCTGTTCAACTCGCTTCGCATCTGCAGACACATCTGCGCATTTGAAAAGCTGTTTGGATATCTCCATCATGACTTCAATGTTCGATTGACTCAGAACATCGCCAGGGTTGCGTTGAGCGAACGATTTGTACTTTTCTGCCATGATGCGGCTGATGTCCACCTGCCTCAATGTCTCATAGTCGCCATGCCGATCCATATTTTAGACACAGGACGTTTTGTTCCGCTTATACAAGATGCTGGAAGGGGATGGTATGCAGATCAAAAAACAGTTTGTGAGTTTCTGGTCGCAATTTGGTTGGGGGTCGAATGGCAGATACATTTTTGAGATAGTGTCGTGGAAGGTCTTAATTTAAGGGCTACCCAACCGCCTCAATGGCTCTTCTAGGCTTGCAGCACCAGAATAAGGGCGAGAACCACAACGATGGAATCCATCCGTAGCTAGGCATCAGTGACTCGGCGTAAGAGCCAGTAACACGCACGCCTAGCGCAGTAATTGCAGCCACTGTGGAGACTATAACCCACCTCAGGTGGTCTTGGATGTTACCTTGCGCTAGCTTAGGCGAACGCATGTATTAAATAACCAATAAGCCTTCTCTATACCTATCGTGGCTGTTTATTAAAAGGCGCAACCCAACTCGCGAAAAGTTGGAGCGATATTGTTATGCCCTATATTGAATGGGCAAAAGAATTGTCAGTTATACCTGTTAGTTATATCAGTAACTCTATGAATTTCCAACCCAAGACTAAATGCTTACGGCATTTCGAATGATACGTCGCAACCTCAACACTCACGGCGACGAGCTGGTCAATACATGGCCAAAATCTGGTTGGCCTGGGGAAACTTATGGATTGCAGTTCAGGGCTCAGTCTCGTTGCATTGGAAAGGACACTGCATATGCCAGGCAAGTAAACGAGTTGAGACAAATCAGTAAAGAGCTGACATGTGTGTGGGGGCCAATTTGGCATGGCGGCGCCTCCAGCACACCTCGGGAACCAAAAAGGTATGCATTGCGATTAGCGCTTAGACCACGATGCGGGGTCTGGGACCTTGGCGGAAAGAGTACTCTGCTTGCATTTACAAGTAACTGAACTCTATTCAACACAAACCCTGTATTTTAGGTCCGCAGGATGTTGAAGAAATCTAATTGACACTCACAGGCCTCTTGTACACCCATTGACGACAACATCATAATGAGTTCAAGTGCTCTATCTTTCCATCACAACTAAAACATGATTTAACATCCCTTGAGATAGAGAAATTTACTATTTACAGTTGTTCTTGTCCTGATATCATATCCGTAAAAGATCAAGTTTTGCTAACTGTCGTGAACATGCTCAGCGGCCAGAAGAGCATGGGAAAAACTAGTATGTTCATCTCAGTTCAAGATGTCTCGTGAATTAGGCATGATCTTCATCATTATTGGAAAAGTACACAAACGATCAAGAAGATGACATGTTCACGGCAGTATCGTTGTCCAATACCTGCGGTAACCACTCATTTGACCTGGTTCTCGCTTAAGCCTAACCACCAAATCTATCTTAAGAAACGACTGGTTGAAGCCTTGTCGCACAGAACTCTAATTGGATAAAGCACGCGTGATCTCTACATGCGCTCGGAGACACTCTTGTCAGAGGATATTGGCACACATGATTGGGCCTCGCTTGTGCTTGTCGTTCCGTGGCTTGCTCCAAGGCGGGTGGGCAATATCCTTTATCGTAGTCCTGTCAGCTGCATAAGCTGGGTACAAATAGCTGCTGTCATTACCTCAACACATTGGAGGTTTTCTCCCAGACCCTCACTTTACCTGATCAGCTGGCAATCGGTCAAGATCTTTTTGTATCCAACACATCATGGGTCTCTTCTCCCGCAAGGCTCCTGTGCACTATCATTACACTACCTACCAACAGACTGTGAGTTTGCTTATGTGATGTGGTCTACTATTCATACTAAGCCCCTATGCAAGACAGCCGCAGTGGTCGTTCCTGCACCCCGCTTGCCTGCTTGTCGAAAGTGTAGTTCTTCACAAAGAACTCAGCTCGCCGTCACTAGGCAGGGACCGAATACTGGAAGACAATACTATACTTGCATCGGTTGTCCTGCTCCGGGATCTGGTGGCCGAAGCTGGATTGTATGGGCGGATCAACTAGTAGCGTAGCAGTCACCCTTTTTACAGTTGCTGAAACCCTGAAACCACATAGCTATCACAATCATCGATCTATGTTTTGACAATTCGCGCACATCTGCAAACGGGACATGGACTCAAACTCTGCGCATGCGTATACATCCAGTAAACTTACGTTTGCACCCCCTACGAAAACAGAAGCTCTTCTCAGCCTGTATTGTGAAATATGAAAAGTTGATCGACAAATTTTGCATGCATTAATCAGTCCGAATTACATAGAAGACACAGTGCTAAGGTAAAGATGGGAGGCAACACAGCTTGAACCTCGACTGCCCGCTTAGAAAGTGTGGGTACCTCCTTACCTGAGCGGTTTTGACGTGACCAGTCTTCAGATTTGACCCTTGGTCCAGAAAGTTCGTGTTTTGCACTTTGGAATTCATCGTTTTATTAGAGTAGATCTGCAAGGAAGACTACGACTACTCTACGCAATCCATTGATTGCTTGCCTTGAATGTTGATCCGATCTCTCCCCACTTGATCTGGCTGAACGTGACGGTAGGTGCTTTCTCGACCTTGATGATATTTTTGGGGTCGCCCTCAGTAGCATCGCAAGGACCAGCATCGCCGCTGTCAAGCCACTGCATAAAACCACCTTGATCCCACCAGAGGGCAAATGCAAGAACCATACCGCGACTCAAAGCGTCTCCCATACCCTTCATGGCACCATCTTTGAGAAACATCTCAGCTCCATTGGCCGCACAGTAAGCATCATTCATAGTAACGTTGCGAGGTTCATTCTCGTAGAGGATACCGTTCTGGACATATTTGCGCTCGATCGATTGAAGGACCCCATTCTTGGCAGGAAATTGTGTAATCACTGTGAAGGGTTTCGTTGTGTCAACCTTTAGGCCACGGCCGTAAAAGTTCTTTACGTCGCTTCGGTACGGGTTGTTGCCACAGCCGTTCTTGTCGCAGAGACCAGTGGGCCCACACTCAGCGCCTTTGCACTGAAAGAGGCTAGGTTTGGAACATGTGTGTGGTGCGATGGAGGTGGCGCGGCTGTTGGCTTCCCAGATATCCATCTCATTGCAGCAAACACCAGAACCATCGATATTGCCCTGAGTCAAGTAAGTATCTATAGATGAAATGAAGGTACCAAATACTCACGACTCCATTGACGAAAGGGGTGGTGTAGCATTGGGCGTCACAATATCCGGTACCGTAGGACGCGCCTGCTGGGTTTAACTTCGACCGCCCTCCATCTTCTTTCATCTCAGACAAATAAAGTGCGCCGTTCATGCCGCATGGTGCTCTGGAGATATCCACATCGAAAGTAAACTCCTTGCCGGTCAACTTGACCATCTCATACTTCTTCTCGTCTTTGGCAAGAAGATAAGCCCTGGGGCTCGCGAAGTTGTTCTTTCCGAAAAAGTCCATCTTCAAGCTACCTCCATTAGTAGTAATGCCATAATCAGCATAGTTGCTGATGCCATCCATGATACAATTTTGAGCGCAGGTCTTCTCATCCGGACATACAGCTGGGTTTGCTGCCTCACCCCAGTTTCCGCAATTTTTCGTGGTATCATTCTTCTGGTAGTTGGGATGATTTGATGAGTCGAGGACAATGGCTGTGTCTTGAGCCTTACATCCTCCGCGCTTGGTACACTCCCAAGTGGTCAGCTTAGGATGGACTTCACGTCCCTTGCCGGGGGTTTGAGCGGCGGTGAAGCCCAGGAGGGTAGCTGTGAGAAGAGTGTACCGGACCATGGTGAAGGTATGGTTGAAAAAGAAAGCGACTTGGCGGGTAATAGTGTGACGGAACACAAAGGAAGGGAAATATCGCGTATTTATACACAGCACTTTCCATTTCGAAGGCGGAGACTGGTCCCGTCTTATTGTGGACCACCTTTCACCCACACAGCACAGTCGGTTGTTCACAAGTACCCTGCTCACTCACTTGCCAGGACGAGGTCACCAAAGGTAAGCAACGTACGCGAGCTCGGCCCGGAAGAACACGCAGGAGAAGATTCGCGCCTCAAAAAGACCCACGCTCATTCATCCAGATAGATTACAATTGATTGTGGTTCCGCCCTGATGACTGCGGCCAGTATGTTTACCGGGTTCAACTTAGCAACGATGGAAAAAGGGTCCGGCGTGTGTGCCCCATGAGCAGACACTGCTTGAACAACGTAGTTAAGTTGTTAACGATGGATTATCGCAGAGACTTTGGGCATAGAACTTCAATGTTTCCATGAATAGAATGGTAAGGACGACGGCGTCGACGTGAGAATCTGCTAGTCTACATACTGTCCAACGTAGCGCTTTGCAGAAAGACTCAACAACGTACACAAGTCATTGTTGGTTCATACTGAATCATAGTATACGTTGCGGGATCTTTTCACAGTTGTCTAGGGTTGTTGATTGGGGTTGCTTGTCTGGAATTTAGGTACATAACCAACCGGAGCTGGCTCCCGATGCGCATGTTCTCGCATATGTTCAGGTGATCATGTTATTTTACTTGCCGTGTACTAGTCGCCGGTTCCGTCGGTCTCCTAACCTATGGTATGAGTGACATGGCTCCGATATATGTTGAAAGGAGGAAGACGATCGTTGAACTGGTATTCAAAACGCAAAGTCATAGACAAATGTGAAACTGACGAAAGTAAGCTTAAGGTTGGGAGTTTTTGTGTAGTTCACCGGAACTTCGTGAAGTCTGAATAATGTGTCACAAGGGTTAATATATTCAAATCAAAACTTGACGAGATGCGGCGGACATTATACGCTTGCCCGTAATCACTCAACCAATGACACGTCATCAAACCGCCACCTCGCCACCACGCAATCAAACTCACCTTTCTATTCCCAACCACGCAAATTGCACTCTCCCACATACATAATGTCGCACTCCACACTCGAAAGTACAACACCCAACATTTCTCCCACGGAAGTCAAGGTCGTCGACGAGCAGAAAAGTGAGCGTGACTCCGCGGAGCGATCATACGAGCCACTCGCCCCAGTCAATCCTAAGCAACGCGAACGCATATTGAAGAGGCGGCAAGCCCGTCAGAAGTGCGAGAAATAATTCAATAACAACAGGCTTCCCCACAACACCTCTCCGCCTAAAAGATCCCGTGTTTTGATGCGACCCGACGCGGTCCGACCGGCCGTTTCTTGGCAAAAGAGCAGGTTGTAGTAAAGGTGGCTGCAGAGGCCATGGCCAAGATGGAGATCAGAATGACAACTAAGACACTCGCCCCTATGTCTGTGCAGAAGGGAAGCCGAAGTTCGAAAGCCAAATGAACTCGTTCCAGGGTCGACAAGGTTGTGATATCGCGTCTAGCGGAGCTGTCTCATCACGTATAAACTTTGCTGTAAAGATAAAGCGTCGGTTGACTGAGTCAAGTCATACTATACTCAAACACAAATGATATTCGTGTGAACTTCCTGAGTATCGACCACTCACGCCAAGCTTCAAATACCACGTCGGATTCACTCCGTCACTGGTGTAACATGACACTTCAGCGAGCCCTTGAATAGCGCCACACCCGCATCAAACCAATCGAAGTCTTCATCCTTCGTGCCATCCACGCTTAGATCGAATCGACGGAATAGATTCGCAAGTGTCAGGTACATCTCACACCATGCGAAGTTGATACCGATGCAGCTGCGAGGCCCTTTTGAGAATGGAACAAAGTACCGATCCAATCTTCTCTTGGCGTCTTCGCCCTCTTCTAGCCAGCGCTCCGGGATGAAAAGTTCTGGAAGCTCGTATGCGTAGGGATGTTGCATAGTAAACAGTACTCCCATGCTTACGATAGTCTGGGATGTTTGTCAGTGCAGTTCGTTTCGAATACAATGAAGCAAAGGTTATACTCACGCCTCCCGGGATCACTTCTCCACCAATCTCTGCACCTTGTGGCGAGACCATTCTCGAAAGCTCTGATGTTGTTGTCGGCGCCATACGCAGCGCTTCCTTGATCACTGCTGTCTGTTTCACATCAGCGTTGCTCTCGATCAAGTCTGCTTGTGCTCACAAGATAAGGCAACTTCTCCAGCTTCTGCACGTTTGGTACTGGGCTCTTTAGATCTGGCCACGCCGCCCTCAACTCTGCCTTGAGCCTCGCGACCTTCTCCGGATACTTGCATAGCTGATAGGTGCACATGGTCATGGTGGCTCCAATCGTGTCCGTACCGGCGATCACAAGGGCAATAGCTTCTTCAAGAAGCGAAGCGCGTGACGGCGGAGGCTTGCTCTTGCTGTATTGTGCAGGGTCCAAAAGGGCCCCGTAGATGGTTGGGAACTGGTTTTGGGTGGGCTTGTCTGAGCCAACCGCAAGTTCGTCAATTTGTTCAGCGAGCATCTAACGCGAGGGAGTGTATAGTCAGCTACCAGTCCATGAATTTCAGATAATATTGGTGAGAAAGAAAATCACATACATTTTTCAAGTGTGCCAACGCCAGGCCTTTTTTGAAGAATGCAAGTCCAACCCATTCGGGAATATACAGAATCAGGTGTCGTACGACCCAATAGTGTTTGAACACCATGAACCACGACACAACCATGTCCATGGACTCGAGGATTGGACAATGGAAATCCTCAAACTCAAAGCACGCCAACGACTTGCCAAAACACATAGTGGTGATGGTTTCAAGGCTGATGCAACGGAAGCCGCGACGCATGTTGGCAGACACTCCCTTCTCGTGGTGTCTGGTCAGGAGGGAGCAAAACATCTCTATCTAAAGGCAGTCAGCGTCAGGGTTTAGACACGGTTGAGAGATGTGGTACGCACATTGGCTTGAATCAGCTCTTCCCGGGCGTGGACGGAGCTCTTTGAGAAAAAAGGATGGAGTATATCTTTTCGGTTTTTATTGTCATGGTATTTCACATATGTGACTGTGGAGCCATCACCACCCAAGAGCGCATACATGAAAGGGTCTTTATCGAAGCGCTTGCGGTATATCTCCTCATAGCTATCGGGATGATTGAAGTGAAGCTAGCCATTGTGAGTGGTATTCGTCGACGAAGCAAGACGCTGATTTACCCTGTTCGGTCCAATTCTGATAATGTCACCTGGTGGGAACCGTGTGAGTGTGACGCCATCAAGAGAGAAGGCATACGTACCGTATTGTGCATGGAGCTTTTTGCATATGTGGTGCATTGATCTGTTCGCGATAGTCTGCTGGTATGCCGACCACCAACTTGAGGCTGCCGCCGTTCGCGGGCCAGGGAACTTGGAGAGCGGGTGGAAGTAGACATTACGAATACACCCCACAAGCTGGAATAGTAACCAACCACTTGCAGCAAGTATAATACTGGTTTTGAGATTGTCTAACCTTAAAACATGCAAATCATAGAACGACACTGACTCTGTTGAAGTCATTTTGGTGGCGGAGGGACGTCGGTCAAAAGCATTTGGTATCGCATGGGTGGTTTTAAGGATACCCGAAGCACCCGTGACATTGAGGGGCCATGCATGAGACAAGGACTAGTGCTATGCAAGTCCTCTACCGAGTGGGTGTATATGTGGAGCTCTGTTGCATCACTACGTGCATAAACGCCATCCATCGCTTCGCGCCGACCCTTGCATGGCTGAATACGGATCAAGCAAGGACTCACCTTACTTTAGATCTCACTAATTCAAGTCCTTCACCTTTCGTCATTTCTAGTCACTGCGTTTTACTGTTGTTTTGTTATGTTTCCCCCCACCGCTTTGATTCACCATTGAGTTAGCGAGAAAACCAGTTTTGTATAAGTTGTAAAGGTCGACCGATGTGGCTATCGTTGAATGTGCTGTGACCTCCCAATAGACATGGAGATACTCGAGGAACCCACGTTGAAGGATCAATTGAGTTCGAGCATGAACCGGCGGTTATTGCCCTCATACCGCTATCTTAGTCCAGGGATCGACACCAAGAATTTGCTTGCGTACCGTCTTCTACCCACCTACTTCGGAGCCTACTGCACCTGTGAGGCACAGCCAGATATGCCGTGTCGGACTGCGGTATTGTTCTGGTTGGACTGCTCTTGAAGTCTTGACCCAGAGTAATGAGTTAGAACTTACGCATGTATGGCCTGATATTAGATTCCCAAGGGCAGGTATACTTCGTAAACATTGGTGGTTCATTGAGCCAGGGAGTTGGAAACCTGCATAGGAGCAATATCTCCGAGTGTTGACGGGAAGGATTTTGGATTCTGGTAGCTCCGGTGCTTCTGTGGAGCGAGGGCATGCGCTGGCTATGGCGAAGGATTTACTTATCCGGTCTAGGAAGGTCATGAGCGTCGTTGTCATTGAAGAGTGAGAAGAATTTATATACGGTGTAGTAGTCTCGCCATATGCTGTGTATCAACTCGTATTCCCACAAAGAAAAGAATCATACCATACAATATGCCGACTTCGAAATTGACCGTGTCATCTGTCCACAGTAAGCCAAGCCAAGCTGCCTGTTAACCGTTCAACACACTCATCTCCAATTCTAGGCAAAATCTGCGCACCAGAGAATGTCGAAGAACTCTCAGCCATCTCATACGCCTACAACTGGCTCGTCGATGCTCCCACGCTCTACTTGACGAGTCCTCCCCCAGCAATCACCGAATATCAAGAACTCGTACAGCCTGGTACCCCATCATCGAACGGCAAACAAAAGACCGGTGATATAAACGCATTCGACGTCTTCCCTCGGGCAGCAGGTCTGCCATGGCCAACGGGTTTCCCCTCAGTACGACAAAGTCGACACTGGAAGGCTGGATTGAAGATCTCTTCCGAATTGCTCGAGCTCTTCAGCACGGACGCCACCATGTTCAAGGCGGTCCGACCGAACGGCAGATCCCTGGCGAAGATTGCGGGACATGAGCTGCAGCTGCCGGCGGAAGACCGTTTTACCAAGTTTGCAACGTATTTGTTCCCTGAGGCGGATAAAGAACGGACGCGGCTACTAGCGGCGACAATTGTGTTTATCGTCATTTTCGATGGTCAGTGCTGAAATACCCGTCATTTGTGTGTGCAGATACTGATGTCTAGCCAGACTCGTGGGAGATGCATAGCGAGGATCAGCTTGCAATTGTCCGTGATGACTTTATCCGACGTCTCGAGTGCAGTGGGGATGGAGAGGTGGAGAAAACTGGACTCCAATCACTAATCGGTTACGTCGTGAACGGATTGAAGAAACATGACACAATCGCCGGCAATGCAGGACAGGAAGTAATCGACAGGCTCGTCGATTTCTGCCGCCATGTGCCGCCGCAATCCAACTTCAGCAGTCTGGCGGACTACCTCTCATACCGTAACATCGACGCCGGTGTTCCGTAAGTTTCTCCTCTCTCATTGCGATGACTTGAGCTGATCAGACGGTAGATACATCCTGGCTTGCGTCAAATTCTCCCTCGAGTCGGACGTATGCATTGAGGATCCCAAGATGGCTACCATACTACGTCTGATCAGTGATCACGTGTCGCTCGTCAACGACCTGGCGTCCTTTGACAAAGAGCTACGAGCATTTGAGGAAGGCAAAGTCTTCTACATGATCAACGCCGTCGACATTGTACGTAAGCTATTCGGCTTGTCCAGCTGGCCGTCAGCCAAAGCCATTACCTACACCATGCAGCTGGAAGTGGAGGCACAGATGGAAGACGAGCTAGCGAGGCTCGCGCGGGAAGATTGTCTCAGCGCCAAGGAAGAGCAGTTTGTCAGTGCGGCATTGACCATGGCGGCGGGTAATTTGTTTTACTCAGTGGTGACATCGAGATATGGCGGTGAAGCTTGCAGGATTGCCGCGTAGGCGTGGGATCCTATTCGGGCCGTTGTCTCCGGGCTCTCGGGTTGTACCGTAGACTTATTCTTGATTTATCCGCCGTCAAGCTAGCAGGGGCTCAAGCGTTCAGATACTGCATGCAGACCTTATCAATTGCCTACAAATAGAGTTGGTTGTATCTCGAACGTGCAATACCGACTTCGCAATAGCTTCAATGCTACACTTTCTACAGGATGAAAGTGCACTTTGATACCGTGGAGAATTTTAATTGGGACCTGCTTATTCTACTTGGCTTCCAGCGCTTGTACCATGCCCAGTTCTGCAGAGGATGCCGGATACGAGACTGAATGCTGGGACTATGCAGTCGACATTCTTCCGGTACCAATGATGCAGTCTGATGTGAGTGTCTTCACGCCAAGCATGGAATGTACCGGCATTCGATACCTACTGTGGTTGGATGGGCAATCTCAAACCGGCTGAGGTATAGTTTATCTACCAGGATTCATTGACTGGACAGGAAGGACAGACACAATCTGTTGCAATGTCATCTAAAGCGAATGTTGTATGCATTCCATCGGCGATGTTTCCTCCCGGGAGGCTATCCAAGGCGTGCTGGGGTCTGTTTTCATGCACCGCTAAACATGCGGCACGCTCCTCGTTACTGCTGGGATAGCAAACGGCTCGAGCCAGATCGACCGTACATATTGTGTTGGTCAAGCATGTGTGCATTATCTGAGGGAGCGCAGTTCTACTTTTCACGCTATCCGGTTGGTCTTCCGGCTTAATCTCTTCAAAAGGTAGACAGGAGAAATATCGTCTGCAGTTCAAATTTCCAGTACCGGTAGACTGCAAAGTGTTCCAGTACATTGGTTCTGGCTGTCATGAAATCTTTCAAGAGTGTAGGTAGAAGAACTATGTGCACTAATTCCTGCCTCTCAACATCTGGCAGTCGCTCTTTCTCACACCTCCATCCGTGCCTACTCGCAGTGACCTTCTACAGAACAACGCATAGACCCCTTGCGCCAGGTTTAAGGAAACGAGGAAACTTGCCATACGAACAAAGCCTTTTCTTAATGATCAACCCGTTGATGAGTGGAATCTGCCGGGTTCTCATAGTTCTATGTTCAAGGATAAGGACTTCAGGCTCACATAAGCGACTTCAGTGCGAGCAACGGACTACGAAAATCTAACAACTTACTAGCCTGATACGGTGTTGAAGGCTCGATTCGACGAGATTGAGTGAGTTCCCAGTGACACATACTTCCCGGCGTGTGAGGGCGTCGAGTTGCCGGACTTGAGGACAAGATTTATTTTGTGAAGTTACTAGTGATAAGTAGTGACATAGCGGGACCTAAAACTCTTTGCTTTCTTGATTTGTTACAGAACCATACGCATTAAACGCAGATTGTATGCCAGATAAAGGTCCAGCCGCTTTCTCAAGCCATCTTCTTGAATCACTATTCTCTGTTGGTCTGTCAACCAAGACGAGCCAGTAACAGCATAGAAAAAGAAGGAAAGGAATTAAGCCAGCATCAAAATCGCGGAGAACGAAGCCAAGTAACAAGATATCCAACGACAAAACTTTGTACATGGAGATGTAGAGCAGACCTGAGAGTTCCAAGAATAACACTACATTCCTCCAAAGCAGTAAACTTCCAAACCCGATCTAGAATATCCTTCGCACCATAATCAAGGTGTACATGAAATTATACAATAATAGGAAATCACGTACATGTGTAACACGAGACTTCAAGGACAACAATTAAGTGCTCCTCCTATCCTACATAGCGACTATGTTTTGCTATCCTCTCCATCACCTTCCTATAAGACACATTATATCTCCGTCATCTAGCTCTTCTCACACGCACGCTATACTAACGCAGAGCATTACCTCTCCATACCAACCTCCCCTTATATACTCAAGCCCCCTAACATGCCATCTCCATACTCTCTGCTACTTTGATCGCCGTAAACTACTGCAATTCCATCACACACGCTTCATCCCCAGATTTTATCTCAGTAGCCTGCAAGACTTACTTACCGCGTCCCGAGCGCGATGTCAAGAAGAGTGGGTGAATGTAGACATCTGCTCTGGAAGAACTAGCGTTGTGGGAACGCATCATCCCTAGTTTTATATTCATGCACACTACACCACACACAATCCCGTTGTCCGTGGACTGCAAATCTATCACCGCGTCGACGACACGAACCGAACTACCTCCCTGCATAAAGTCAAGGAGTAAGTAGCGCAAACGTGCATCACTTTCCCTGTTTTCCTTAAGATCTCCCATCCCATCCGATCACACAAAACAGATCTATCCAGCTATCAAAGCGTGTACGACAACCCAGCATACAAGCCCACAGACAAAACGAGGCAGAGATGATGATCCGCGCACGTAGATTATCGGCCTGCGTTCGTCCTGGAGAGGGGTTGAAGTTGGGGACGGTTTGTATGTATATATATATGTGTGTAAAAGGACAGGATTTGTAGGTATCATTTCGTTTGATAGGATGGTCGCGGATACACGGCTCCAGGGACGTACGAGAGAAACTGCCTAGACGCTGGCTGCCTGAACGGGTGAGATATTGCGATGCAACACGCACACGTCATAGACGATGCAAAAAGTGAGAAAATCTGGATATATCCACATGCATAACAAAACTAATTTTCATACAACATCTCCATACACAAAAACAAACGTTTCGCCAACCTACAACATGCTTACTCACTCACCAACCCTCTCCTGCACAAGATCCACCTGCTTAACCGGATGCACCAGCAGCCCCGGCAAACACATCCGTCCCCCCCCCCCCCCCTCCTCCTCCTCCCCGCCATCCCCATCAACCCTATACCCAAACCACCTCTTCCACAGATTCCCCGCAAAACCCGCATGATAATACCACGTGGTGCCCAGAAAATTATGCTGCCTCTCATCCGAGAAAACACTCAGCCTAGCCCCCCCACTCGCCCCATTCCGGCCGTTGTTAAATATAGCGGCTAGGTATTGCACGGGCCATTTCCTGTCGATAAACACGGGATGGGGCGCGTATACGGCTTTAAGTCCGTGGTGGAGGGCAGTGGACGCAGGCCACATTTCGGAGAACATTGTGTGGCGGTGCAGCGCCTGCTCGTTATGCATGGTGAGCAGCAGGCGGCGGGATAAACGACCCGATGTGTTGATAGCCGTGCGACGCGGGGGCATAGCGCGGGACTTGTTATACCCCGTTACATCGTCGGCGAGGATCCAGTTTGTGCTTTCCGGGTCGAAGAGCGGGTTCAGCACGATGAGGTCTGCGGGTTCGCCTACACCCCACGGTACTTTCGCGTTCTTGTCTTCGAGGAGGGAGTGTGGGGGTGTGAGGGCGGGGTCGATTTGTATGTCGGGATAGTCGAGGGGGGGCTCGGGGCCCCAGATGGGTTTTTCGGGCTTGCTGATGCCGCGGTCGGGGACGTGGGGGTTGGGCGGGAGGTGCGAGGACCATGCGTTTGCTTTGCTGTTTGTGCCGTGCTCGGTCTGGACGCGGACCATGTGGGAGAAGTCGTCCCAGGAGCCGTGGACGGCGGGGACGTAGAAGCGGGCGTTGCGCTCCCAGAGGCCTCTGCGGGGTTGGGCGGCGGTCCATTGCGAGATCTGCTCGAAGAGGTGGTAGTAGTGGCCTGTGTAGCGGACGTCCATTTCCCAGTGCCAGATGAATTCGAACTCCGGGTGCTGGTGGGCGAAGTAGGTGACGGGCATGTATGTGGAGCGGTAGGCGCCGTGGACGGGGAGGCCGCGGTAGTTTGAGTCTTGGATGCCGCCGTAGATGAGGCCCATTTGTCGCTCTGACCAGAGGGTACCCATGCCGGCGAATTCGGCGGGGAGCGAGTTCTTGAGCACGTCCTGGTAGACGGCGTCGTCGGCCCAGATCTGCTTGTTGTCGTCTTTGACGTGGATTAGGAAGTGGACTTGGTATTCGCCGCCGGACGCGATGCTGAGCTCGGCGACGAGGGAGCGCAGGAACATCAGGTCCTCGTCGTCGTAGTGGTAGTCCCACCAGGTGCGGATGAGGACGGCGGTGCGGGGGAGCAGCTTTTTGTGTGTCGGCTTGGGCTGTGCTTTGGCGGTGTCGTCGGTGGGTTTCACCGTGGTGTGTGTAAGGTCCGCGGTGTCGTCGGTGGGTTTCACCGTGGTGTGTGGAAGATCATCGCGTTTCTGCGTAGCCATAGCCTGGAACGCATGGTCGCGCGACTTGATCTGCGTCTCAAAGCGGCCCTTATTCTTCTCCAAACAGCGGCCCAGCACGTCATTCCACCGTACCTGTCGGAAGTCGACCTCCGCATCCGTCTCCCACACGCTCTCCATGCCCTCGCGATCGCCCTCCATGCCCGCGCCCGTGCCGCCCCGCCGCTTACTATACCCCAGCCCGTACGGACCCAGCCGTCCAAAGCGCTCAAAACACACGTCGCTCCGCAGACCCAGCAGGTCGTAGCTGCCCATGATGTTGTCGGGCATGCCCTCTGTCACGCCCTTGTATGCCCTTAACCCCGGTATGCGTATTGTGTCGTTCGCATCGAGGTAGCACGTCTCCACCGGCCCGTATTTGTCCACATACGCCGCGCTGCTGTAGTCTGGGTACGGGTCGAATGCGATCGAGTCGGGGATGTGCGCGCCCTCCCTCTTCACCACTGTGCGTGTCTCCTCCTTTTTCGCCGGCTGCTCCATGTCCGGGTCAATGTCCTCCTTGCGCGGGTACTCGGGAACATTCTTCTCCCGGCTGACGAGGGTGCGTATGCCGCCATGGTAGCGCTTCAAGAAGGGGAAGCTCTCCCACACGGGCGGCGGCGGCGGCGACTTGAGCAGGCCGAGCTCCGCATTGCGAATCGACTCCCAACTGCTGCTCAGCAGGAACCACACGAAGATGACCAGCGCGCTGGCGATGACGAAGCCGAAGTAGCGCGTAAAGGCGCGCGGGTTGCGGTAGCTGTATGCGCTGACGGACGGGCGGGAGGGAGTGCGGCGGTGTGCGCGGGGGGAGGATTTGCGGTTCGGGGCGAGGGGGCGGGCCTCGTTGTTGGGGTTGGGTTCGTAGGCGGCCGACGACTGGCGCGACGAGTAGGCGCTGGACGCCGGGGAGGAGGCGGCGCTGTCGTCGTCGTCGTCGCTCACCCATTGCTTCTCGTCGTAGTCGCCGTCCTCGACGTGGCGCTCGCGGACGGGCGGTTTGCGGTGCAGCGGCGACTTCCGCTTGGCCACCTGCAGTGGCCGGAACCCCAGCATCTCGTCGCGGATTGTGTGTCGCACAGACTGCCCTATCTCATGTGGACGGGACGGCGTCAGGGGTCTAGCGGGGGATGTCGAATGCGGCGCGTCGTGGGGAGGGTTGTGTAGGGCTGTGCGAGTTGAGATGGAGGGAGAAAGGTATCTTTTCTAATTCATAAATCGTATCGTACAGAATTCGTGACAAGGTTTGCAACAGACATGGCAATGCGTGTGCTGTGTTGGACCGCCGCGTCAACGAGGCGGAAGTGCCAAGCATAGGTAAACAAATCGCCGGTTGACTCGGATACATGGTCGTCAGCGCGCCCTCTCCACAACCATCTCGAATACGCAGAGACGTTATCAGTAACATGTGAAAGCACTACCCACGCATGGCCATGTCCTGACCGACAATATTCACCTTCAACACACCATCTATGCTCCACTCAAACACGCACCCCAAAAAAACAAATCCATCAACCCAACCACAACCACCATCCTGCATACAAACACCCCGTACACCTCAGGAACGCAAAAAAACATTGCATCAGCCGTGAATCGAACACGGGGCTAGCCGAAACTGGAATGGCAACGGCTAATTTTACCACTAAACCACTGAAGCATTTGAGTTATCTTGAAATGATTGATGACTCGTTGCACCGCGGCGGCGGCTATATTTTGGGGTAATTGAAACTTTTCATGTGGAACGGTGATCGGATTTTGCTATAGTAGAGGTACAGATGCAGAATTTGATGGTGGGGGGGG